AGAGACGGGGTTTCACCATGTTGACCAGGATGGTCTCGATCTCTTGACCTCATGATCCACCCGCCTCGGCCTCCCACAGTGCTGGGATTACAGGCTTGAGCCACCGCGCCCGGCCGAGTGTTGCTCTGTCATCCAGGCTGGAGCGCAGTGGCGCAATCTCAGCTCACTGCATTCTCCGCCTCCTGGGTTCAAGTGATTCTCCCGCCTCAACTCCCAAGTAGCTAGGATCACAGGCACCTGCCATCATGTCTGGCTAATTTTTATATTTTTATAGAGACAGGTTTTCACCGTGTTGGCCAGGCTGGTTTTGAATTCCTGACCTCAGGTGATCTGCCAGCCTTGGCCTCCCAAAGTGCTGAGATTACAGGTGTGAACCACTACACTGGGCCTGTGTTGTTCTTAAGTGTTTGTAATCCTTGAACTTTCTATTATTCATGATAAAATTATGGAAAAATTTTTTCAGAAAACTTAACTGGCCAGGTGTGATGGCTCTTGCCTGTAATCCTAGAACTTCGAGAGGCCAAGGCAGGTGGATCACTTGAGCCCAGGAATTCAATACCAGCTGGAGCAACGTGGTGAAACCCCATCTCTGCAAAATAACAAAAAAGTTAACTGGGCTTGGTGATGCACACCTGTAGTCACAACTATTCAGGAGGCTGAGTTGGGAGGATTGCTTGAGCCCAGGGAGATCAAGGCTGCAGTGAGCTGTGATCGAGCCACTGAATTCCAGTCTGGGTGGCAGTGAGGCCTTGTCTCAGAAAACAAACAAAAAAATTAACTCATGGTCATAGAGCTCTTTATTGACAATTATAAGGTACTGTTTAGAAACTATTTAATCACAAAGCAATATCATGAAACATGTAGGGAACAGTTATTTGGAGATTTACTAGTATTTTTAGTGATACCAGTTAATATTTTAGAGATCCAGAATTTGATTACAAAAACCATTTGATTTCTAAAACCATAATGAGCTTACTGAGAAAATGTTTTATAGATTATTTGAATTTATTTTTAGATTCCTCACTTAAATCTTTTTGTCCTTTTTTTAAATCTTAAAATATTATATCTATTATAACCTATTATTTATATAGACTAGTCTGTTACCATGGAAACAGCAGTCATATGAAAATTTATGTTTTCTTAGATGCTAGCACTGATTTTGTTTTTATTTTTATTATTTTTTCCACTCTGTGGGTTGTTACATAAGTTTGATTCCTAGGTTTTTTTCATTTTTGCTCTATGAATCTTGTTAAAAATAGCAGATAATGGCTTCTACCTATTATAATAAACTTCATGGTGTAGTAATTGTGTTTGATAGACATTTATAAATTGAGTCTTATGTCTTGCTGTTTTATAAACTAGATTTGAACTAGAAACCTGGTTGCCATATATAAATCCAGTGTATATAGAGGAACAATTGCCAAATTGTCATATTTAAATCATATATATATATATATATATATTTTTTTTTTTTTTTCCAGACAAGAGTTTTTTGCTCTTGACTTGCCTAGGCTAGAGTACAATGGCTTGTTCTCGGCTCACTACAACTCCGTCTCCAGGTTCAAGTGGTTCTCCTGCCTCAGCCTCCTGAGTTGCTGGGATTATAGTTGCCTGACACCATGCCCAGCTAATTTTTGTTATTTTTAGTAAAGACGGGGTTTCGCCATGTTGGCCAGTCTGGTCTCAAACTCCTGACCTCAGGTGTTCCACCCACCTTGGCCTCCCAAAGTGCTGGGATTACAGGCATGAGCCACTGTGCCCAGCCATAGGTATTTTGAAATATATTTTTAGTTGTCATATTTAGATAGATTTGGGAATATAGGGTGATAACATAATGTAGGAATGTTTTAAATTGTGATTTGATTTTTCAGCCCCTCAATTTAATTTAGAGACATTACACCACATCAGAAAATAAGCATGTATGTTTGCCCTGGAAAACATATTCTGACTTTCTTAAATGTAGCTTTAGAAGTTTTAATTTATTTAGTATAATAAAAGTAGGTCTGGAGCTGTTGCAAAAGGCATGTCTTAAGGTTAAGCAATATTACGTTATTTCTTATTTTGACAGTATCATTGGAGTTTTCTTGGTAAACAAAAGATTCTGTAATATCATCTTAAGGAATTTTTGTATAGAGCCTTTCCTTAAAATTTTAGTCTCATATTTATTTGTTTATGTCATTTACTAGTTAGAATATTCTCCTCCAAGGTGGTCAGGATATATTTTGGGAGCTTGTAATATTGATAAACATTTATAAAACATGATTTAAGGTTATTACCATTGAGACTAGTAGTAGATTGTAATTATCTCATAGTCTACGCTGATTTGCATTTGTAGATTTATGGAGGTTTTTTTTTTTTTTTTTTTTTTTTTTTTTTTTTTTTTTTTTGTTTGAGATAGAGAGTCTCACTCAGTTGCCCAGGCTGGAGTTCAGTGATGTGATCATAGCTCACTGTAGCCTCTACGTCCCAGGCTCAAGCAATCCCCTTGCCTCAGCCTGGTGAGTAGCTGAAACTACAGGCATGTACCATCATGCCTGGGTAATTTAAAAAAAAAAATTTTTTTTTTTTGGTAGAGATGGAATTTTGCTGTGTTTTGTAGAGATGAGGCTTCACCATTGCCCAGGCCGGTCTTGAATTTCTGGCTTCAAACAATCCTCCTGCTTCGGTCTCCAAAATTGATGGGATTATAGGTGTAAGCTACCACACCTGGCTAGAATTTTTGAGTTAAATTATAACCTACTACCTTATAATGCTTGGTTAAATTTGTCTTTTCTATATATAAATATAATTGGCTATTTTCTTTTTTTTTTTTTTTTTAAGGCAGAGTTTTGCTCTTGTTGCCTGGGCTGGAATGCAGTAGAGCGATCTCAGCCTCTGAGCACACCTCCGCCTCTGCCTCCCAGGTTCAAGCAATTCTCCTGTCTCAGCCTCCCGAGTAGCTGGAATTACAGGCATGCGCCACTATGCCCTGCTAATTTTGTATTTTAAGTAAAGACAGGGTTTATTCATATTGGTCACACTGGTCTTGAACTCTTGACCTCAGGTAATCCACCTGCTTCAGCCTCCCAAAGTGCTGAGATTACTGGCATGAGCCACTGCATCTGGTGTGGCTGTTTTATTGTCATATTTGGACTTACATATCAACTTTGACCATTTCCAAAATTGGTAAATTTGATCATTTTCTAGCTGTTGATCATTTAATGTCTTTATCTATAAAACAAATAATCATATTATCTTAAAGGAAACAGTTAAAAATGAATCTTGTGGTTCTCTTCAGACCTGAGCTTATGGATGATGATTATTCTTATTTATTTTATTTATTTATTTATTTATTTATTTTGAGACGGAGTGCAGTGTGGTGATCTCAGCTCATTGCAACCTCTGTTCTCTGGATTCAAGTAATTTTCATGCCTCAGCCTCCCCGAGTAGCTGGGATTATAGGTACCTGCCACCACACCCGACTAATTTTTGTATTTTTAGTAGAGTTTTATCATGTTGTCCAGGCTGGTCTTGAACTCCTAGGCTCAAGCAATCTGCCCACCTCAGCCTCCCAAAGTGTTGGGATTACAGGTGGGAGCCATGGCGCCTGGTCAATCTATAAATTCTTACCAACAAAGTAAGATTATTCTTCCTTTCTAAAAATGTTTCAACCTGCACCTTTAAAAAATAGCATATATAAGCTTTCAGAGTGCTGAGATTACAGATAACATTTATATTTTCTTTATCAGGGGAAAAGAGTTTCTTTTTACAAACGAGCCCAAATCCTTGTAGCAGATACATGGAGTGTACTGGAAGGAAAAGGAGATGGCTGCTTTAAGGACATCTCCAGTATCACCATGTTTGCTGATTATAGATTACCTCAGGTTCTTGCTCATCTTGGAGCCCTGAAATACTCTGCTGAACTACTGAAGAAGCTTCTCAAAGGTTTGCAGCTTTAAGTCATTCTTTGTTTTACTGTGAATTGTTGAGTCTTGGTTTGGTTTCTTTTACAAAAGGTCTCCTTTATTTTAAAAAAAGTACTATTCATTGTTCATAGTATATGTAAAGGAAATGCAAAGACAAAATGTGGAGAAAATGATTTTTCTTTTTGTTTACACTGTGAAATGTGGATATTGTAGAAAACTGTGCTATTTAACATTATAATTTCATAGCCTAATGAAACCTAAGTTTATGTTGCATGAAAGTATGTAACACTGACAGTTCATCAGGTATAGTATTTGAAAAGCGTTAATTAAGCTTAAGAGCACACTACATGGTGATATGAAGGATAGGCTGAAAGTTAGGTAATATGAATCAGATTTTGAGTGAAGAGACTCCAAGGTCTGTACTGGGTTATCTTACACAAGTCACTGACTTCTCTAGGCTTATTCACCATTATTGGCTATGATTATTGATGTCAAGACTAGGAGCCTTACGATTTATAAGCATAGGTAAATTGGGTTGAAAAGTTTGTATGAAAATTAGCTTTTTGTATTTTAAACATTTCCTTATATGAGGAAAAGAAATCATATGATTTTCATGTTAATTTCTCTTTTAGGTGCAACATTTTCTGCTACTATTTTCTTTATTTTATTTTATTTTAAAAATATGTTGCCCAGGCTGGTCTCCAATTCCTGGGCTTAAGCAGTCTGCCAACTTCAGCCTTCCAAAGTGCTGAGATTACAGGTGTGAGCCACTGCACTTGGCTCCTTTATGTTGTTGTCGTTGTTTTTTTTTTTTTTTTTTTTTGAGACAGAGTATTGCTCTTGTTGCCCAGGCTGGAGCACAGTGGCATGATCTCAGCTCACCGCAACCTCTGCCTCCCGGTTCAAGCAATTCTCCTGCCTCAGCCTCCCAAGTAGCTAGGATTACAGGCATGCGCCACCACGCCCAGCCAATTTTTGTATTTTTAGTAGAGACAGGGTTTCTCCATGTTGGTCAGGTTGGTCTTGAACTCTCAACAGGTGATCTGCCTGCCTTGGCCTCCCAAAGTGCTGGGATTACAGGCATGAGCCACCACGCCCGGCCCTTTATGTATTTTTTAAGAGAAGTAGATTCTATGTTTGAATAACTTCCTCTTTTGAAATAGATTTGAATCTCCCCAAATCAGAATAACACAGAATATAAAGGTATCATTATTTCTATAGTTGGCTCTACTGGGTTTTTATGCTGCCTTGGGCAATCTATTTTGTCTTCTTTTCCTCATTCAAAAAAGAACATACTATTTTTTTTTGTCGTCATGCTCATGTCAAGTGTCATTAATCGTTGGATACCTTTAAAAGGGACAATTAGTGTTTATTTTTCATACGGCCATATCGAGCTTTTTTTTTTTTTTTTTTTTTTTTTTTTTGTTTTTTTTTTTTTTTTTTTTTTTTTTTTTTTGGCCCACATATGTATACACTATTCATTCCTATCTCTGAGCATTCTTTTACATGATTTCTGTTGTCCAAATTTTCTTTTTATCAATTCAACTCCTACACCTACACAGAGGCTTTACTCAAATTCTGTCCTCACTTATAGTGATTTGTCCATCTCCTTCTGAGTTTTTATAGCACTTAATTGTCTCTGCTACTATGAGAAAAACCCTAGTGAGACAGGATCATCCAGCATGGTTGTACAGAGATGTCAGAGTTTTCTTCTCTCATTCATTTCAACTCCAGAGGCTCTTTTCCAATCTCTTTTGGCAGCCTTTACTGCCTCCATTTATTTCTTGCTTCTAAAAGGGTACTCTGCTATCCTTAGCTAGTTTGATATATGGTAGACAAATTCTTTTGCCACTTAGTTCATTTAAGCAAAATTTGGATTTTGTTTTCCAAAAAGTATTTTACTGCAAAACTAGAGAAAAATAAACAGAAACTATAAATGTAACAGACATAAGTATAGTGTACTGATTTTTAAAAACTACCTTAAGTGAAATCTAGGACCAGCTTAGTTTGACTGGGTGAGGTAGGACATCCTTAACTGGCTTCCAATGGTGCTTCCAAACTTGAAGATATCCTTCATTTCTATTCCTTCCCTTTTCCCCTCATCTGGGTATCTCTGGGACAGCTCTTGAAAGTCCTACCGGGCCGGGTGCGGTGGCTCAAGCCTGTAATCCCAGCACTTTGGGAGGCCGAGGTGGGTGGATCACGAGGTCAAGAGATCAAGACCATCCTGGTCAACATGGTGAAACCCCGTCTC